TATGTATGTATGTGTATGTGTTAATTGAGCCAAGATCGCGAGCTTTTGAGCTGAACTTTTTATTAGTCGAGCTTGAGTTGGAATAACTAGTCGAGCTTACCTCCAAGTTCGAACTCGGTTTGAGCTTAATTAAATCGAACTCAAGTCGAGCCTAATTGAACTCGAGCCCTACATGGATAAAAGCCCCTTGATTTTGTGAAATAAGAGTTGGGAGGACTTCTTTTAGTCTAGTATGCAAAACCTTTAATATAATTTTGTATACTTCGCTCACCTTGCTAATAGGTTTAAAAATCACTTGGATGGAAAACCTCTCCTTTTTCTTGGGACTATAGCTACTAAGGTGGCATTCATCGGATCATCCTAGGGTTTTATTATTATTATTATTATTATTATTATTATTACTATTATTTCCTAGTTATCTTGAAAGAAAGCCATGGCGTAACCATCTAGGCTGGTCCCATTGATCTTTCCATTGAAAATATCATGTTCTTGATTTCATCATCTTCAAAAGGCTTTTCTATTTCATAGCTTCACATGGAAAATTCAACCAATCCACCAACATCCTCTGGAGAGGGGGACTTTATATAATGATTTGGAAATATCCACTTAATTACATTGGTTACGGATTGAGGAGTTTGGATCTGCTCCTCAGAGAGCCTCACATAGTTGAAAATACCTTATTGAACTCATTATTCTAGTTTTACCCCTCCATGGTTGAAAATACCTTTCTTCTTCTTCCGCAAAATTGTGAAACCCAAACCTAGCTCAACTGCTCTCTTTCCAACCAATAACAATTACAGTGCTCTTTAGATTTGCGTTAGCTCTGTCTCTTTGATGCCTAGATTTTAAATTAATGGAAAATTAGAGATATAATCTGGGGAAGTAGAGAACCACTCCTATTTACAAAGAGGAACAAGAACAGGATTCCAACCTATGGGCAGAAGAATTGAACATTCTTCGTCTAAACATTACATCCATTTTACTCTCTGCTTTCAGAAGGCTTCAGGCATTCAATGATAGCCACAATCTTCCATGCTGTCACTGTTTGACACAGGCTTAGCCTTACCTACACTTGGTAGGCTTACGTTGAGTGGCAATACTATAAATATGTCAATATTATTTTTCAGAAAAGTGATGTTTGCTCCTGGGAGAGCCCCAAAAGCTTAACGTACTCTTTGAGGAGGGGTGGTCAACCTCCTTGGGTGCTTGACCTTGGCAATCCATAGACCAACATCCCTTGCGAGGTGACCCTGGTTAATGGCTAGCATGGCTACCAAGGTTCCTCATGGGCACACACGCTCATGGGGACAGTGCATGGACCGACACTGCACAACGCATATTGAAGGGAGGCTTTCCATGCGGGTCTAGCCCAAGCATGCCCCTACAACTCGCTAGCCCCATGTCTAAGCTAATCGAGCTACCCCGTTGCTCATAGTGCACGGGTGTGCTCAGGCCCAGTGGTTGCCTTACATCCTCGGTACAACAGGTGATTCACATCATTGGTACAACAAGTGCCTACATCATGGCGATCCCCCTTTGGCACGTAAGATGCGCCTCCCATGGACCGGCAAGAGTCACAGAGAACTCCGGCCATGCGCCGCGAGGTCATGATCCAGTGCCACTGACCTTGGTGGAGCCATCATCGGGCCGACACATGGCCCTTACACACACATCAGGCTTGTCCTGGCTGCCCATTGCCTGGACACCACACAGGTTTCTTCCGCTGCAGACCTAACCCCGTGACAATGGGGCAGGAGACGGCGATCACCAATAAGACAAATAGCCCCCACAGAGTAGGAAGCAACATGCTGAATTGCCAGAAGAGCAGCCATTGCCTCCACCTCTTCTGCATTACTAGCCTCCAATGTTAATGCTACTGCTGATAAGAAATTACCTCTATTGTTCACTACTACACAGGCACCTGCTGCCACACCATTCTTGAAAGTTCCATCAAACCAAGTCGTGACATCCACAGAAGTAGCCAAGTTTTCCTGTGGGACCATACTTTGAGAATCAACACCAGCTTCACAGGGAAATTTACCACTGATATAATGCACTGGGATTCCACCATGAGTTTTCAACTGATGCTATGCATTGGAATCACATTAGTACTCTTAAGGTTCTCTTTTTTTTAGCTTTGTTCTTAGATCCCAGAGGATAAAAAGGTAGAAAAGCAAGAAAACACATCTAGGTTTTGATTTTTAGTCTTTCTTCTGATTCTCTTTCATTTTTGAATTTTTGGCTCTCTACCACCGGTTTGGCTATTAACAGAAGCTCCAAAAGGAGGAGTAAAATGTCTACTCCTACATACGGCAACACATTTTACTAGTGTTGTGTTTAACAGAAAACATCAAGAGAACCCAGAAAACCATGTTGGGTCCCCACAACATGAGCAACTGAAATTGCCTTCCTCCTCTATACTTCAAAACCCTCTCTGGACCGTCTTTACAGGTGGATGTTCCTATAATGCTGATCCAGCTTCGTCAAGTATCAATTGGCTATGTCAATGGCTTGCCCGCCTATGGTTCACCTGAGTTTGAGCTAGAAATAGGTACAGCTGACACTGTATAACAGCGTATTTAAGTGGAGTGTAACCACAACGTATATTTAAATAATTAACTGAGCATAGATTGGATGTTGTTACAGTGCTTTATTCTCTGGTTTTGAAGTCCTGTCAGAGTCCTCTGGTCTTCTGGAAGAACATTCAAGTGCATGTTTTGAAAATTTTAAAAACACCGAAGGGCATTTCTGTCCTTTAACTTTTCTGTCAATCTTAATGGTTAAATGTTTTTAACAAGGTATATTTAAGTAGTTTCAGAAATCACAGGATGTATTTAAGTAGTTTAATGAAACCACAGGGTATATTTAAGTAATTATCCAAGGTTCAAAATTTCGATACGATACACTCCGTATTTAAATAATTATCATATTGTATTGGTAGCTCCCTGAAACCCCAAATAAGGGGTATTTTGGAAGTTGGCCACTTTCAGGGGGTAGGCATGCCTAAAACTGACCCCGTGAAACAATTTTGAAAAAAAAAACTAAAAAAAATAGTCATGAAGGGTCAAAACACCCAATATTTTAAACCATGTAATAGTTATCCATTTCCTTTATTGCCTTCCTGGAGATGTGATTCTGTGATGTTTATCAGCAATATTACTCCTTGTACCTTTGCAGCTGAGATGTTGTAAATATTTGACTAATATGAATAACTTGATTATACTAGGCATTATTTTCAAAGCTTCAGCAGTTGGCAACTGTTGCTGGAGATGTACTACTTGGAAAGGAGAAGATCCAGAAAATTCTGCTTGCCAGGCTAACAGAGACAGTAGTAATGTGGTTATCTGAAGAGCAGGAGTTTTGGGATGTATTCGAGGATGATTCAGCTCCTCTGCAGCCACTTGGGTTACAGCAGGTATGCATGTTGTCTGTGATAACTCTTCTAGGATCATGGTTCAAAGTATCGATACGATATGCGTATCGGCAGAATCGTATCGGTACTTAGAAACACACGAAACTCTTTTTTTTTTTTTTAGTTTTTTTTTTCAAATTTTGGTTTTTTGGGAAGGGAAAAATAAGTTTTTTTTTTAATTAAAAAATGGTGGGGTTCCGAACACCTGTAGCGTATCTTTTTCAAAAGATATGATACAGGGCGTATCGTATCAATACTTTAAATCATGCCTAGGATATATCTTGATTCCAGATTTTAATTGGCTTATCTCCTTTTTATTCTTGTCAGTTTGCTCTTCATAGGCAATACTCATGATACAACCACTGTCAAATAATATTCCTCAAGTCCTTCCTTGATGGTTAAGTTTAATGTGAAACAGAAATTTGATACAAGTTTCACATTGGATGGGTCCAAGTTATTGTCTTCTAAATCAAATTCATCTCCATCTCACTGAACTTCTTCAGGTCGGGGTCCCTAGGGATAGGGGTATAACCGAATTTGGTTCAATAAAAATCTTGGGATATTCGAATTCAATTAAAAAATGATGGATTAAAATTTATATGGATTTGAATTCGATTTGATTAAATTTTTGGATATCCGATAAAAATCGAGATAAAACTATAAAAGTGTTCTTAAGAAGGTTAAAAACTGAAGAAGACCATTCTTTTTTTTGAAGAGTAAAGATAAAATTTTATTCAAACAAAAAGAGAAACAACCAGCAGGCAATAAATAGAAGACCATTCTATTTTATTCAGCTTTGTTCTCAGGGCCAATTGGGGTTGGTGACTCTCTCATGGCTGAGATCTTTGCAGTCTTGGAAGGTGCCCAAAGAGCAAAGGATATGAACATTAGGAGGCTTGCAATTGAAGGGGATTCAGAGGTGGTGCTAGAGTGACTGCAAGAAGACAAAGCTGATTTATGGAACTGCAATAATGAAAGGAGAAAATTCAGATGGCTGGTTAAGGACATGGAAATAAAGTTCAGTTGGGTGAAGAGATCTGCTAACTCGTTTGCTGATGAGTTAGCCAAGCAAGGGGTGGTCAGGGAATCTATATTTTGGGCTCAGTTGTAATTCTGGTTTTTCTCACTTTGGGGACTCTTGCCTCTGCTGGGGAGTTAAGAGAGTTTTTCGCCCCCTCTGTGTAATTAATTATCCTGTTTGATTAATGAAAGTTTTGTTATTGATAAAAAAATGTATTCTTGCCCCATTGGGGTTTGGGACTCTCTTAGAGTTGAGATCTTTGCTGTTATGGAGGGTATTAGAAAGAGTAAGGAACTGAATATACAGAAATTAATTATTGAAGGGGACTCAAAGTTGGTGGCTGAAGAAAACTGAAGAGAAGAGAGTTGAGGGTTCAGCAATGAGGGTCTGAGTAGAGGATTTCGAACTCACTCTCTCTCAGCCCCCTAACACTGTTTTATTAGAAATATTTGAATAATTACAAGGAGGCCCTTAGTTGGGCAAGAATTTAYACAGAACTTAATATTGACAGGATGGACCCAGAATAAAGCCCATTACAGAAAAGAAACATAAATAACAAGAAGGAATAAGCAACCTATGGGCCATTCGGCCCATCTTCTCTACAGTGGCAAGCTGGTTACAGAAGGGAGGTGGTCTTCAGAAGTTTACTAATGAAAGAAAGGAAATCAAATGGCTAACTAGGGGGATGGACATTCAATTTCAGTGGGCGAAAAGAACAGCAAATGCGTTTGCAGATGCTTTGGCAAAGCAGGGGGTGGGAAGGGATCAATTGTATTGGGCTGTATTGTGAGATGTTGTTTTGCTCTCTTGTAGAGACTTAAGTCTTTTTTAACTTTCTCTGGATTTCTGTACCTGTTTCTTATAATTCTAATGAAGTTCTGTTATTGATATAAAAAATATTAAAAAAATGGACAGCATATAATAATTATATAAAATGAACATTATATGTATAAAATTAATGGATCAGATCGGATTTTTCGGCTCAAATCAGGAGTAATTTAAATTTGACCAAAATTGCAAATGGATCGTATTTTCTGATATGATCCAATCCAATAATCCAATAAGGCTGATCCAAAATTGGCAAAATCGGATTGGATTTGAATTTGAATCGAATCAAAAGCTGATCCATTTGCATCCCTAGAAGTCCCTCTTTGTGATGTTTCTCACATCACTAGTGCTTTTCTGTAGGGCATGCAAATGAAAATTTTCTTCCATGGTTCCACTATATTCATTGCCACACAATGCCTGTTAAACAGTGATAAGAGCTGAGAGTCTGAGATCGTCAACCGCCGTCTGTATGTTGTGAGAGTTGAGAGCTTGAGATTAAAACTCTAAAAGGGTTTATCGAAGAGGGTTTTTTTCCCCTCTAATCTCTCTTCCAAGTGAAAGTCAGAATAGATCAATAGAACAAATCTATTATGTGAATGGGAGCACGATACAACTGTATCCCCACGAATAAAATTTGTTCAAGAAGTATAAAATATGTATAAATCTTATATACATATAAATATATGTATATAGATAGGAATATACATAGAGGCTCGAATAGGCTTGCGAGCTTAACGAGCCGAACTTCAAAGTATTCAAATTTGGCTTGATTAACAGATGAGCCATATATAGAGATCGAATTCGACTCGAAGCTTGAGTTGGGCCAAGCTCGAATAGCTTGTGAAAAGCTCAGTTTGTTTTCACCCCTATTGATAGGACAAGAGACCCAGTAAAGGAAAAACAAGGGCAAGAGACCTAGTAAAGGAAAAAACATTATAGAACTGCCCAAAATAAGGATTCTCTAATAACCCCTTGTTTAGCTAATTAGGGGTGCTCACGATTCAGATCACTGAACCATGGGGTATTTTTGGAAACCAAACTGGCACTACTGGTTTTTGAAAATCCCTGAACTGAAACTGAACCAAATCAACCGGTCAACTAGTTGACCAGTTCGGTTCTTTGGTTTTTCGGTTTTTTATATTTATAATATATTTACAATATATATTACAAATATGCATATTTGTACTATACTATATATCATAAATAGATAGTTATAAACATATTTTTCAAGGTGCCAAGGCAAACCTAGGTGTCGGGGGAGCACATAGCCGCCTAGTCACCTATGCATCGCCCAGTGTCTCAAAAGTAAACTTGCTTTTCCTAGTGTTTCAAGGTTTGTGTCTCAGAAATAAACCTTTTCTTCGTAATGTTTCAAGACTAGTGTCTCACAAATAACCATTTTCTTCCTAATGTTTCTAGGCTTGTGTCTTAGAAATAACCATCATCTAGGAAAAGGAGCTATGCTCTGATTTTGTCATAGGAAAAAAAGAAAAAAAAATCCATTGGTATTGATAAAAAAAAGGAGAAAAAAAATAAACAAATAAGGAGAAAAAAGGGTGAAGCCCCTGTTTTTTTTTTCTCATAAAAGAGAAAGAAAAAATGCTAAAACTGATGAAGGAGAAGGGTGAAGCCCTTATTCTTTTTTAAGAAAAATGCAAGAAAAAAACTTGAAGATGGTGACTGTCATTATTATTATTTAAAAAAACTGAAAAAAAAATCAAATGGAGAACTGAAGGAGGAGCAGACTAGCAGAGCCCCTGTTTTTGTTCCAAAAAAGAAAGGCAAAGAATAAGAAATTTAAGGAGAGAGGGTTATTTCTTATCCCAGAAAAAGAAGAACATACCTGTGTTCGATTGGTGTTACTTTTGTTCCAAGTCTTCACTCTTCAAGTCTTCGAAGTCTTCAAAATCATCAAATTCTTTGAACATACCTGATGAGTTTGGTTTTCTTGGTCCGGTTTGGTTTTTCAGTTTTTTATACTCCTACAGCTAATGAATCAGTTGATCCATTTGCTAATCTTCTAACCTGTTTGAATATGACACCAACTTCCCTTACTAGACACCGCCTTCATGGTTTGCCTGTGACTCCATATTTCCAATTTATCCTTTTGCATCCAGATCACAACAAGTTTAGAGTGTCCTGCTTCAATTTGCCTGAACAGCAGCTGTTTTGCTAGCTGTAATCCTTGCAAAAGAGCAAGAATTTCTGCTCTAAGAGAATCTCCTACTACTATGGGACTCAAGTACAATGCCATAATGCTATCTTCACTTCCTCTAAATGCACCACCAATGGTTGAAGGACCCAGATTTCCATTTGAACTTCTGTCAAAATTTAAGTTGATGCTGTGAGGGAAGACATAACCACTTTTTTTCATTCCTTTATGAGTCATTAATTGAGTCGTTCTTCAATGCCGCCTCAGTTTTCACCCAATGTCTAATTTGATTGTGATATTTTGAATGATCACCTCCCTTGCCTAGCACTTCTCTTGAAATAGCCTATTATTTCTTTTTGACCAATCAACAGCCTCTCTAGGAGCTCTCCAGAAGATCCTATTCTTGTTTGGTTGTTTGAAGAAGCTACAGTCAAAGAGACTTCCCAGATCTTGAGGAAGAATCCACCTGCAACCAAAGTGACAAGAAAACCATTCCCAAATACAAGATGACCATAGCTTTCCCAAAATATATTGGATGCACATGATCTTGGTTTCTTTGGATAAATAATTGATAAATCTTGCTAATGGCGCCAAAACATGCAAAATGCACATCGTTTGACCCATAAAAATTAGACTGAAAGAACAGTGACATGATTGCAACTACAACTTGTAAAAATCATAAAAACCTTTTATTAATACTTTAAGCTTATTAAACCCTTGTAAAATGACTAGAAAATTTGCTGTGCTTTGCACATGGCAATTTTAGATGATAATTGTAAAAATATATTTCTAAATTTTTTATAATTGTTAATATTTCTATATGTATAAAAATAATTCTTATTTATTACACTTAATTTCTTTTAATATGATGAGCATATGATGTTAGATATTTGTCCAAACGTTTTCTGCAAAAGGTTCAACTATTAATCCACCACTAAACAGAAAACCAATTTTATTTTTCTGGTTTTAAATTTTGTACTTTATTTCCATAATCAATAAAAGCAATTCTTCTTTATCTAACTTATTTGTCTTTAACATGATCCATTGATTTAAAAGGTGCGCCTAGGCCCTAGGCTTGGCACTTTAAAAAGGCATGCGCCTGGTGTGCCTTTTTTTGTGCTTTTTGTTAACCCCCGGCCATGCCCCTAGAGGCAAGCCCAAACAAGTTCATGTTAGGATCTTAAATTCTTAGTCCTTACAAAAGAATAATTTTATATTTTGAATTGCCTTTTAAGAAGATATTTCATTAGGATGAATGGGTGAACAACATTAGCAAATAGGGGGTTCTTGTTCACCAAAGATATTTTAAGAAGATATTTTATTAGGATGAATGAATGAACAACATTAGCCTAGCCACTTTGTTTCGCTCGCTCACCAATGCTCCGAGAACCCCCTATTTGCTAATGTTGTTCATTCATTCATCTTCATAAAATATCTTTTTAAGAGGTAATTACAATTATAAAATCATTTCTTTTCTTTGTGTAGGGATTAAGAATTTAAGACCCTAACATGGACTTGTTTGGGCTTGCCTTGAGGGGTTTGGTACAAAGCCAGCTTGCAGAATTAGGAATGCAAAATGTTCTACATCACATTATCCATTTTAAGTAACGCAATTAAGGGGAAAAAAAGAGATTTTACATGCCTGAATTTGTTTTATATGTTTGATTTGATTTGATTTTTTAAAATTTTCATTTGAATATGTTTTGCATGTTGTATTTATGTATTTTAGTTTTAGATAAGAAGTTTTCTAAAACATTTATTTTAAAATTTAAGTTTATATTTTTAAATAATACTATGTTTAGTGCTTTTATTTTTTTTTTATTTTTTATTTCGTTTTGCTTTTACTTTGAATTTTTTGGTATCTTTTATACTTTTGTGCCTTGCTTTGAAAAGGTGTGTGCCTCACCTTGCGCCTTGGGTGTAAATTGCTCCTTGTGTTTTTTTTTTTTTTTTGCTGCTTGCACTTTTGGAACACTGATATGATCAATATAAAATATTAGAGATGTATCCAAATGTTTTCTACAAAACTTACATATTTTTTTTATAATTTTTGTGTTTTTTAATTTTTATATTTAATAATGATATCAAAGGTTGACACATTTGACTTGAAAGATTGAACTGTTGACCTGCCACCAAATAGGAAAACAATTTCACTTTTGGGTTAGCTTTAAGTTTTGTATTTCATTTCCATCGTCCATGAAAAAAAAATCTTGTTTATCACATTTATTCTTCTGTAATTTGATTAATATAAAATATTAGAGATTTGCCCAAATATTTTCTACAAATTTTTGTATATTTTCATATTTGACCTGAAAAGTTGAACTGCAACCTGCCACAAAATGGGAAGACACCTTCATTTTTGTGTCAGTTTTAAATTTTGTATTTTCATTTCCATTATCAATAAAAGCAATTATTGTTTATCAAACTTATTTCTTCTTTAATATGATTAATATAAAATATTAGTGAAATTATGTGTTTTTATCTTTTCTTTCATTTTTATTATTTAATTCTGATATCAATGGTTGACACATTTGACCCAAAAGGTTAAACTGTTAACCTGCCACCAAACAGGAAAATAATTTCATTTTTGGGTCAGTTTTAACTTCTGTATTTCTTTTCCAACATCAATTTAAACAATTATTAATTGTAACACATTTTTCTTTAATGTGATTAATATAAAATATTAGAGATGTGCCCAATTTTTTTTTGTAAGTTTTCATTTTCATAGTTTTTGTATTTCTTTCTATTTTAAAAGTTTATTGTTTAACTATGGCATCTTAGGTTGGCCCATTTGACCTGGATGGTTTAATTGCTTACCACCAAGACAGAAGGATGGTTTCGTTTTTGGATCGGTTTTAAAAACATGGGTTTTATATTATTAGGAGTTGGATATAGATTTAATTGATATAATTTATGTGAGAAAAATTATAGCTTAAGTATAGGATTCAATGAGAGAAAGGAAGTTAATACCTTAAATATATGACTTAATGAGAAGAAAAAATAAATAAGGTGAAAAGTAGTGGTTCAAGTTATTTTTTTTGTCCTCACAATTAGAGAGGGACAAAATTCAAAGATAGGGGTATTTTAGTCAAGAATAGGATTCAATGGATGATAATGAGAGTTAATACCTCAAGTATAAGATTTAAGGAGAGTGAATTGAAATGAATGAGATGAAAAGTAATAATTCAGATTACATCTTTTGCCCTCACAAATAGAGAGTTGAAATTCAAAAAAGGGGTATTTTAGTCAAACAAAAGTTCCATACTCATTCGTACTTTTAATGATATATAATATAATATAATATAACATAACATAACACTATACCTAAGAGGCTAAGACAGTAACAAACAAGAAAGATTGGAATTGACCAAAATCCTTACCTCTCAAAAGCTACAATATTGCCATTGGTGAAGGAATTTGGAGAAACTTCTGTATTTTCTTTCACTTTTCCATGTTTGTATCACAGCTCAATCTGAATTCTCAAAGTCCATAAATATGTACAAGGAGAGGAACATTATCTAAATTGCTCAGAGCCTTTACTTGGAGCAATCATCAGTACAAGTAACACTTCCTGTAACAGGCACTTCACCAAAAAGAACCATTAACATTTACTTTACTAGACAAACATCAGATTGTCACTACCTTGATTCATTTTTCAATGGAGAATACATTATAAAGGTTGTATGGGGTTGAGAGTGCTTTATTATTATTAAAGTTATAGAGCCATCCTGTATTTGGGGGGGCGGGGGGGCAAACTGCTAATGGGGTTGACAATGAAATAAAAGTACTAAGTTACCCATTCAAGGTTCTATAAGCCGACAACTACAAATAGTAAAACGATGAAAATAATCATTCTAAATCATAAATCTTTCTCAAGGCATTGATGAGCCACTCAGGGTTTTTTGAAGATGAACATTGTTGAAACTTGAAAGATAATTGAGAGAAACATGTGAGAACTAGGATTTTAGAAAAACTAAGTTAAGAGGCAAAATGGTCTAATAAAATAACATAAGGGAAGTTTGGGGTTTTAAAAATGTTTAATGGAATATTCCATGCAGTTAACTGTTTGGCAGGGGGAAATTGCTGGAATCCAAACTAAAAGTTCGGGGGGCTAAGTGTCACTACCCCCTAACTGCAGGGTGGCTGTCTGTAATTTACTGTTACTATTATTATTTGATGAATTGGTTGGGAATGCTTTATTGACTTGATTGTATTACATAATTGTGAAATTACTGCTTTTTTCTGACCTACTTCCTCGAGCTCTAAAATAATTTTTTCTTTACCAGTTAATTCTTGACATGCACTTCATTGTTGAAATTGCTGTTTGTGGAGGCTATCCATCACGACATGTTCACCAGATTGCTTCATCCATAATTGCTCGTGCAATCAGGACTTTCTCAGGGAGAGGTATTGACCCACAGAGGTATGTTATTACTGGCTTGTTTCATATTTTTACTGGCCTGTTTGTCAATTGTGACTCATGTTTAATGCAGTGCACTTCCTGAGGATGAATGGTTCTTTGATACTGCAAAAGCAGCAATAAACAAGCTCCTCTTTGTGACATCTGGGTCTGAAGCATCAGAAACTGATGAAGAACATATTGTTATACACGATGAGGTTATATCTGACTCAGATGACACTGCTTCTTGCGCATCAAATGCAGAATCATCAGATTCCTTTGCTTCAGCAAACATGGGTGAGAGTGAGAGTCCAATGTACTTCACAGATCCCGAGACTTGAGAAGTGTGGGGTGTTTTTTGTGGACCAGGATAAAGCAATACTGCAATCCCTACCTGTTAGTTGATGTAGCAGGGTGATTATGGGGATTCAGATGGTTCCATGGTGAAACTACTGGCCATGGACCAGAAAAAGAGCCAGTGACTGCATTTTCAGATGATGCCATGCTAAGCGATATGTTGTTGGGGCCTCTCCAGTGTGGATTTGCTATTGTGACAAATGAGATGCTTGGCAACACGTTCCTGGTGGTGTTTCATGATGCAAGAGAATCACTGTACAGTGGTTGGTGTTCCTTGATCTTATGGATGTTCTAGTTAACCTGCATACAAATCTTCTGAATATGCAATATATGTTGCTGTATTATATCCAAAAAAATCTATGTTGCTGTATGGAAATAGGCCAAGCATTTGAAGTACAAGAAATGAAATGTCTTGATCTGTATTTTGTGTTCTTTAGTTGAAAATGAAGGTAGACAATTTGGATCCTTTTTGCCAATACTAGCATCATTTTTCAATCTTGTTCTGGTCACCAGTTTTGGCATGTTGTCTCCAGCCAGTGCTGATTAGGCCACATCCAACATTCAGATTTTACTCATATATTGTACAATCTAATATTTGGAACATTCCAAAAATCCATTGTTTGGTTAGCTGGAAAGGTGGAAAGTAGAGAAAATGTAGGGATTTATATATGGCCCTCTTTGGGACGGCTTCTATGTCTGGGGCAGGTTGCATTAACTGAGCCGTTTTGATTGAGCACCCGTGTTCTGGATAAGCTACTCAGATTAGTTTCATGTTATTCTGGCATTTGGAATGCCCATGTTGGCTTTTTGAATTTTCACCATGTTTCAGAAGTCTCCATGTGCGGCTCAGTTCGAAATGCCATAAACCGCTCCAGATATCCTCCCCATGTCATTAGAAACTAAAACTATGGGGCCGTTTGGCAAATCTTTTATGAAAGATCTTTTGGAAGCTCTGATTGTTAAAAGTCGATGTAAGCTTTTGCAAGAAGATCATAGCAGGTTGAAGACTGTTTGGTTAAGGTGTGTCTGTCCGTACATCTTTTTACACGAAGAGCATTTGAAAAAAAAAAGGCAAAAAGCTCCATTAGGAGTTTCTCAAAAATAGGCTGAAATGGATTTTCCACGTTTTTACAGGGCTGTGGCTTTCGGAGGCTAGATTTTTTCTCAATCAAACAGGAAAACACTAAAACGCAAGATTCCAGGCTTTTAAAAAGCCGATAGCCTGCATGAAAAGACACGCCAAACAGAACCTATGCTTACATGATACAAAATACAGGAGATGTTTTCAATGTGTAGCTGTAGTCTTGCAGCTAGAGTTTTTGTGGTCAGCAGATCTCAACTCCTCTGCTTATAAGATTTCTTATGCCATGGTGGCTCAAGAGAGTCCACCAACAGCAGCTTCATAATCACTTGTGCTTCATATTTGGTCTTTTTCACCGAACACTGGCATATTCAAATGTCACTGAGGGAGTGAGAGGTCTTGTGGCGACCCCGCTTGGTGGTTTTTCCCATCTACAAACAGAGGGATTATAAGAAGAGTTGTCATCAGATGATTCATCATTGATACAAATATAATTCAAATCTGCAACTTAAGCATTTATAATCAAGATGACCAATAATAGGTAGAAGGTTTATCTGCAACTTATGCATTCATAACCAAGATGACCAATAATGGGTAGAAGGTTTTAGTTTTACTACAAGAAATCAGCATATTCCAAAGACAAATCTACCTCGTGCCAACTGACCACATTTCACCAAACACAGCTTCAGAGGTTTAGATGATAATGTCATAATGATGATGAAATATAATTAGAATAAAATGGATTCATTAGACGTGAATAGAAGACAAAAGATAGGATTGAGGAGATGGTGCTTTTTTTTCCTTCTTTTTATATAATAAAAGACAATAAAATTGAAGAGTTCAAATCAGCCCCCCACAACGTCCCACAGCCCATCCCCGCCATGTATTGAGAACAGCTCCAGATGATGATCTCATAAATGATAATGTCATCATCGGGAGATGTTTTCAATACACGGCGGGGATGTGCTGTGGGACGTTGTGGGGGGTTAATTTGGTCTCAAAATTGAAGTGAAATAAACTGATTGGAGAAGGGTTTACATTGGTCTTTCCTTCTTTTTTCTGTATATGATGATAATAAACTAATAGTGGCTTATGTTGCTATATCCTCATGGAGTCCTCATTATGTTTGCCAAATAAAAACCCTCCCTTTACACTTTGGCTCCATTGGATTGTTCCAAAAATGAAAATTAAGGAATGGCTTTTCAAAAATTACTATTTTTACCATATTTGGGTACTTCTGTAAATCATTTTTAGATAGAAAAGATGTTTTTTTATTGAAAGATGGGAACAGAGTTTGGTACTCATGATTCATATCCTGCTCCAATCATAGATATACTTTTCAACCATTCAATCATTCATCTTTGTTAATAAAAAAAAATGTATTCATTTTCTTACTTAAGTATTATTTTCTAATAAAAAATCTTCATTTTCCTTCAATTTACGTGCAACCAAACGCAACCTTAATCTTTCTGTCTAATATGAGATCTGAAGGCCGATCCGTGAAACTCACTTTCCGTGATCCTAGCATTGCTCAATCCTCAATATAAGAATCAACTCATCAAGATTGCGACCGCTCTCAAATCTCAACGGTGATAAACTTGGAGACAAGGAACAGAAAGCGTGTGTGATTGGTTGGTGGATTCACTGACGTTATCTGTTCCCTTCAATTGCACAGACCCATCTTCAAAATTTGCTGAAGTACACAAGACCCGGAACACACTCTCAAGTCTCATCTCACTCTTTCAGTTCTCCTCCAATGGAGATCATCACCTTGAAGCAGGCTCTAATCCCAGCTAGCCTGCGTAGTGCGTCTATTTCAGCCTTCGGGTTTCCTCCTCCTTGTCTGAAATTCCATCCCGCTAATCATGGCAGAAGGCTTCTCATGACAAGAGCGGCTGTTGCTGTTGAGCAGCAGGCGCAGACCAGGGTTTCACTCATAAGGATAGGCACAAGAGGGAGGTAAAAATTTCTTCATGATTTCAATTCGTGCATTTTCCTTTCTGGGTTTCGTTTTTCTTGTTCGAAATGTAGCACGCCGTGATTATTTAGATTGTTTTTGGTGTTGTTGATGCTCAACCATTAATGGGTTTATCCGTAAGCTTAGAGGTTTTGACATGTTTTTTTCCTAATTCTGAGATTGTTGATGTTTTGGTTTTCCCTTGTACTGACTTGCTCCTGGGGGATTTTCACTTGGGAGGGTGGGTAATATTTTCATGATTCTTTTATGGTATTGCTTCATTTCCATTTATTTGTCTTTCCCCGTCGTCCTTATTTTTTCATGATTTCGATTATTTGGTGTAGTTCGATTTCATTTAGATCTTATCCATGTGCTTAGCTGTGCATATTTGACATTGCTCTAGAGGTGCACGCTTTTGACTTTTCCTGTTTTAATGTAGCTGTTGAAAGTAGGATTATGAATCCAATGCCCATGTGTAAGATTTATTTTTTGCTTTTATGCTCTTTATATCTTAGATCTTTGATCTAAATTTTTTAGGAAAGTAAAACATTATCTTGGTAAGAAAACAGGGAGGGGCTAAACAACACTTGGTGTAGCCCTGCACCAGAGGTGAATGAGCGATTGCCGCAGTTAGGTGGTCTCATACACTTCATGTGGCACATATGGGTCAATTGATATTTGGAATAAGTTAAAGTGGTTGTTTTCTGTGGTTGACATGGTTCCTTGTAATCCATTGCTACAAGATTAGCACTGTGCAGCCGGTATCAACATACTATTCATGATGGTGTCTCTGAAAACAAGATTAATATCTCAGACATGTATTCAAAACCATAAAAATAAAAACCAATAAGCATTTCTGGATATGATCATATTGAGTAGATACCTGACAACTTTAGCAAATTTTATTGTTGAAAAGATTGTAAAAACTGGAGAAATAAGAATAACATTAAAAACAAATACATCTTAATAACTCTTTGTCTGAAAATGAGTTATTAATTGTTTCAGCATTTATCTGAATCCCATGATGTCCCGCTTCATTGTCCATGTGGTGTTAATATGCCGCCATCAAAATTTCTTTTGATAATTTTAATGGGCTGTAAGGAAATCTGTAAATGTAGATGGGTTGGTGGTGTTAGGGTGACAGCCTATGTGACTATAACTGTCATTTCTTTTGGTATGAAGTATATTAATCCATGATTTGAAGGATCCAGGATCATCAATGAGCACCTTTCAGACCTTTCTTTCTCTAATGATTAATTTAGAAACTAGAGGATATTAATCATGTAAATGACTGCTGACATATGGTTATGTTCATTTTGTATTCCTGATTATTTGAATCCACTTATTTCTGTTAGATGATTTCTTTTATGCTCCTTATGTAGGACAGCCCATTAGCACTTGCTCAGGCTTATGAGACACGGGATAAACTGATGGCCACACATCCGGAACTATCTGAAGAAGGGGCAATTGAAATTGTAATTATAAAAACAACAGGTGATAAGATACTCACTCAACCGCTTGCAGATATAGGTGGAAAGGGCCTTTTTACGAAAGAGATAGATGAGGCACTCTTGAATGGTGAAATTGATATTGCTGTCCACTCAATGAAGGATGTGCCTACATATTTACCTGATGGGACAATTTTACCATGCAACCTTCCACGTGAGGATGTTCGAGATGCATTTATTTCATTGAGTGCACGATCTCTGGCTGAGCTTCCAGCTGGCAGTATAGTTGGTAGTGCCTCCCTTAGAAGAAAGTCACAAATACTGAACAGATATCCTTCTCTTAAAGTAAGTATAATTGATGTTGTTCTCACATGTTACAGTAGCTAGGAATATTATAAATCCGTCATTTCTAAAGACTTTGAATTCTATGTTCAGAATCTAATTCTTCTATGCATGACAAGTTGTTTTTGAGCTGTGTTTTTTACTCCATACATAAACACTGACACATACAAAGTTTCACCTAAATGTCTTTTTTTTTTTCTTTTTCAATGTTAAGGCAGTCATGGGTGGGTGCTTTAAGTGCCAAGTAGTATAACATTGGGCTTTGACATTTCAAACAAATAACCTACCTTGACTGATGAATATTACTGCATAGGGATAAAGTTTGTTGATTTGAGTTTAATAGTATTCCTTGTCCTGCTTTTAGGTTTTTACTTGAAGAGTTTAAACATGTTTTATCTTTTGTACCTTTTGTTTTAATCCACCTCATCAATGTAATGAAATCTATCATTATGTTGACTACATGATCATAGTGACAATAAACGGGGCACTTAGATTATATGTATGAATAAGGTGAATTAAGTAATTGTATTTCAAACATGATGCATCATCTAAAATAGGCCATGGTTCCAATTAATTGAAGTATTTGGCCTAGTGGATGGCTTATAGATTTTTCCCCGAGTGCCTTTTATTGAAACAAGCTTGGACTCTCAATTAGGAAAGAATACCAACCACCGGATACAAAATGGGGAAGGGAAAGAGAATGTGAGAGGCAAAGGGCGGAAAGGGGCTGATGGGGTTAGAGACAAAAACAGTTAAATTGTTCTTGTTGTTTATATCTTGTTCCTTTTTCAACTTGTCTATTATAACTAGAACTAAATCAATAATATAAGCTGCTTCAAGATTGCCAGGTTGAGAAATGAAGGAGAAAATTGGGTCATCACTTGAGAAGATTGCTTCTGTAACTGATCAGTTTTAGGGAATATGTAATGGGCATCTCAATTTTTGCAGGAGAAATTGAATTTTTCTGGGAAAAATTTTACTTTTGTTTCTGGTGGATCATGTTAATATATTAACTCTCAAGTTTGGCTTCAGAGGGGGTTGACTCAAGAGGATGTGTGTTATGTTGCTATTTATTTGTTTTTCTGATTCTTCTCTATTTCTATGTCTTCAAATTCCTAAATTTTAATTTAATCAGATATCTTCTTCAACACCAAAGTATTTGTCAAATAAGAACCCATGAATTTATTTATATTCTCTATTTTATCACAAGGGTAGACATCTCACTTTCTTTTGTTTTCAGATAAACCATAGTTTATGACCTTTTCTGATTGGTGTCTTTAAGATTATTGTATGCCATTGTTGCTTTTCCATATATTGTTTGAGTAGATCTTAGTTTATGTATAAAGATGTGCAAACTACAAAGTTGAATAGATCATATGTATCTTTCTATTGCTGTTCTATGTAAGATGGTTCTCTTATTGTAGGTGGAGATGAACTTCAGAGGCAATGTTCAGACACGGTTGAGAAAAGTTAGGGAAGGAGAGGTCCAAGCAACCTTATTGGCATTGGCTGGGCTCAAACGCCTTGATTTGACAGAGAATGTTACTGCAATTCTATCTATTGATGAAATGATTCCTGCTGTTGCTCAAGGAGCAATTGGAATTGCATGTCAAAGCAATGATGATAAAATGGTATGTATTGTTCTAAGGAAAAGTATCTGATGGCAACTGAACCACCATATTAATTGGTCTAGCAAGTTTCTGACTTTACTGAATAAGAGATTATAGCCCTCCCAGCTTGCTGCTTTTTTAACTGGTTGGCGGAGAAGAATTTCTCTTTTAAGTCAAAACGGCAGCTCTATGCATAATGACCTAAAGTTGCATAATTGAGAGTTATGTTGTGATCAATGTGTCCTTGCACGGTTTATTCTTTGACTTCTAATGTTCCAATCTTTAGTTACCCATGTTTGGGATAGATGGTCTCACATATTTCTAACATTTCTTTTGAAAATCATTCTTGCTTGCAGGCTAATTACATAGCTTCCTTGAACCATGAAGAAACCAGACTAGCAGTTGCATGTGAGAGGGCTTTCCTTGAGACCTTAGATGGGTCATGTCAAACCCCAATTGCAGGTTATGCATGTAAGGACAATGAGGGCTACTGCATATTTAGAGGTTTGGTGGCCTCCCCAGATGGAACCCAAGGTAAAGTAGTCCAGATCTAAGGATAAGTAGTTTTGTCAAGGATCTAAATAAGAGAAAAACTTTTCTCAATTGGATTTTGTGTCTGCCCTATTTTAACATCACTATTCACTCCCTCTCTAATGGCCTTTTTCCTTTTCCAGTATTTGAAACTTCAAGGAAAGGTCTATATATTCTTGAAGATATGATTGCAATGGGAAAGGATGCTGGCAAGGAACTACTTTCACGGGCAGGTTCTAGTTTCTTTGACAACCTTAAAAAAGCACCAAAATAAAAACACAGAGAGAGAGAGAGAGAGATGTTTGGCGTGGCTTTCAGCTTTCATTTTTGTAGGTGTGTCCAAAAGGATAGCTTTTGAGTTATTTGTATTTTCTAAATGTAATGGATATGGTTGTATGACTCGTTGTATATTTAGAGATGGCATGTTTTGATTAACAGGAGATTTCATTCTTTAGAGGTTGGTCATTGGTTTTTCTTTCTCAAGTAAATTGATAACGAGATCATCATCGTCCTCGTCATATAAACCATATCCAGACCAGCCCCATTATTGATACCAATATGATACGCCGGTAGGGGCGTATCGGACGAATCGATACTTTTTTTTTTTTTTTTTTTTGAAATCAGTTCAGGGGGGCCGGTTTAGGGCTCCTTCACCCCTGAACCGGTCAGACCCCTGATACACCCACTATAGAGGTGTATCAGAGGGATCCCGGAACGCCACGGGTCGATACTTTGAACCTTGATTGAAATAATGATATTGATTAAGAATGAACATCGATGGCAGCCAAATGGAGCAAATGAAGAAGGCACATGCGTTTCTTGGTGAGTCTTTCAATTGACAACTTTCATGGCTTCCAAATCTCAAATTCTCAAACATGCTCACTAGATGTTGCAAAACTTCATGCTCGAATATATATGCATCTTTTTCTTTAAGGGCACTTGTGCAAGTGGTGTGCGGTGTGCCGAGATTAATTATCCAAGTCATTGAGGTGATATGCTAAACTAAACTACTGATTTAATTCATCGATGTGTCTCCAGCAAATGAAGATGGTCAAATTGAAGATGAGTAGATGAGGATCATTCTTGATGATTCCTGACATCAAGCAGTCGCTTGTCTCATGTAACCATTTTTCTTATTTTAAGATTTTAACCATAAAAAAAGGTAAATTGCATATGTACCTGCACTTTAGTCTAAGAGCCTGAACTTTTAAACGTGTCACTTTAACACTTGAATTTTTAAAAATATACATTTAAGCTCAACTCTATTAAACTAAACGTTGAGCGATAAAATTAAAAAAAAAAAAAATGCCCATATTCTGACTTCATTTTTTTTACTATCATCTTTCTTCTGCCTTTGGACTTTGGACACAAATCAATAATGACAAAGTTCGTTCACCCCAATTTGTTCATTGAGGGTAGCCTTACTTTTGGGTGCTTCTTTTGCCTCCATTAATTTGCGTCAAAACTCGAAAGGTAGGAAAAAAGATGAACAATTAAAGACAAAAAAAAAAAAAGAATTAGAATATAGACATTTTCATAATTTAATGGAATTTAACTTAAATGCATATTTCTGAAAGTAAAAGTATTAAAATGATACATTTAAAAGTTTAAGCCCTAAAGTGAGACTATCCCCAAAGTACAGGGTATTTATATGCAATTTACTGAAAAAAAAAAAATGGTGCCAAGAAATAAATGTGGATTTAAGCTATCAAAATGATGTGGCAAAGTTTACATATATACCATAACATCAACGACTAGTTAATAATATCATCCATCATCCATAAAAAATGATGCATTGAGGTTTCAGCCACTACCATACAATATTGTGATCATCTCTTCAGGAATGAATCGTAGACTTCGTATTATCACTACTGTAATGAGTATGCATTTTATGATGTCCATGTATTATATCTACATCTAATAGGGGTTCTCACCGTTCGGTTAACCAAACTGTGGGTCTATTTTTGAAATCGAACCAGTCCTATCAATTTCTGGAAAACCAGTAACTGAAATCGAATCAAAGCCGATTGGTTGACCGGTTGACCAATTCGGTTAACCATTGGTTTGATTCGTCGGTTTTTTGGTTTTTAATATTTATAATATATATTATAAAAATATATAAATATATAATAAAAAATAAAAATATATATAATACTATATTTTAAATAATAAACAATATATTATATATTATAAATATATTTATTTATATTTATATATAATGCATATTTATTAATTTATAATATATAAAATATATATAAAAATATATGTATACCAATCCATTCAGTTAACTGCCAATTTTCTATATTGATTAACCGAAACCATACTGAATGTTTAACTAGATTTTTGGTTTGGTTTTGGTCGATTTTTTGGTTTTTCTTACTCACTCCTAATATTTATATTTATAACTCTGTAATCTATATCTATAACCATTAATAAAAATAAGAATGGTAATTGTCATTCGTCAAAATACCCTGATTTTCATTTCCAAAGTTAGCCTTCGATCATTACTTTTTTCATCCCACAATTCTATCCCTCTTTTATTTTATTTCAATAAAACAAAAAGACCTGAATGTCTTTTGAGTTTTGAGACACCTGGTACGGCATATAGGTGCACAAATGTTCTCTCCTTCAGGTTCTAATCCAAACATTGGGTTGCTATGTTTGAAATAAAACGTCTCAATCTTACAAGCCTTGAATTTTAAAGAACAATAATGCAAGCCAAGATGTCTTCAAGTTTTCTTCACCAAAGATCCATAACCCACCTAAGCTTTTAGATTAAATTGAAGATAAAAATGTCATTTTTCTAATTTAGACATTACATTTTTAATATATAGTACTAAATTTGTTATCAATCAGTGATTAATTTGGGATGATTGATTTAAGTAAACTAACACATGGTAGTGCATTGTTAAGGGGGCAATATGTTTTTTATTGTACATTAACAAATATGCATCTGCTTCTGCACGTTATAATTTTAGATGATGATGATTATAGTAAAAATAGTAGGGTTAATTACACGGACCTCTATACTATGGGGTATGTAATAAAGACCCCTGTACTTTTTTTTGCGACAAAGGCCTCTCTGAACTTTGGATGTTAGACAAAGACCCCCTCCGTCTCAACGGACATGACGAATGGTGGTATTTAACCAAAATAACCCTCTATTAAGTCAATGGACAAGAATGCAAACTTTCAAAATGGCCATCTCACTCCCAATTACCAAATGCTGAAGAAAAAAAAGGCATTTTAGTCAAAACCCTAGAAAGCACTACGTTCTCCTGAGAGTCATTCTTTGCCAGACTTCTTGGTTAAACCTCAGAGTGGAGCGGTGGGTATAGACAAGGATAAACTTATTGATGGGGGGTGATTTGGCCCGACCTCATCATAAGAGGACGCATGGACATGACTCAATATAAGTGACAACTCAGCGCGACCAGTCCGCCAAGATCCAGCATGGCAGCTCGCTACAAGATAACACTCTGATTACCCCGAGCTAAGATTCTTCTAGGTAGGATGCACCCCAAGCTAAGATACTCCCAAGACGGGAATCTCCCAAGCTGAAGGCACTTTGGGTTGAGCTCGCCAACCTCCTAAGAATAAACTCGCCCCTGTCCAAACTCAAGTAGGCCACCTCGGGTAGAAGCACCACGGCACAAGGTAGCTTGGCACAGGGCAGCTTGGTACAAGGTAGCTCGGGGCAGAGCAGCTCGGCATATCACAGGAAGATCTCCTGCCTGACAACTGTACCTGCCAAATCTGGAGATTATGCCCACGTCTCTCGCCAGGCGGCGTCGTGCCTGCCAACCCTGAGAGGTGTCCCTTGTCTGGCAGGGCCGTACTCTGCAACGGATACCTGCGCCCACCAGCTCAGCCCTGGCAAGTAACGACTGCGGTAGAGAATCAGAGGCGGTTATACCTGATTTGTCAGGACATCAGTATATAAGAGCTCCGACCCCCAAGAGCAAAGGTAACTTGCGTGATCTGCACTCTAGCCCTTTCATTTTTGCTCTACAACTCTCTCTTCCTGCTACTAACTTAAGCATCGGAGTATTCCTGTCGAGAGAGCTCCTCGGGGATCCTTCTTCCTCCTCACATGTATCTCGTCCATCGCCAGCTAGGCACGCAGCCGCTGCCAGGTAGGAGTGACCAGATCGCTTCGAAAAGCCTTCTTCCACCAAACTTTGCAACTTCAGTTTCCATGGCTTCCTCCAGCAGCGCCGGATGCAGCGTAGAAATGAATGCCATCGAGGAGCAACTTCAGGTCCCAACAGTATGTATTGGACAGTTCATCGTCCCCCTCTCTATTGATGGAGTTCCTACTCTGAACGTGCCTCAGATAATGGCACCTATGAACGCTTCACTCCCCTCCACGGTAGGAGAAATATTCGTCAAACCCTCCATTGTTCCTCTGGTAACCATCCAAAACCAGCTTGAAGACCTAGTGCACTGCATGTGAGCTATGCAAGCTCTAATGCAACAATTTCAATAGTTTCAACTATATCAAAAGCAAGTGTTGCACCAGTACCAACAGCAGTTTCCACCACTGCCTCAGAACCGGTAGCCGGTCCCGCCTCGACATCCGGCCGCACAACCAGCCAAGCCTCGCTGCCAGAATGAACACCCCCTTCGTCGGGGAGAGACCTCCCAAATCCAGAACCCTCTTGGGAGTTGGGCTTCATCCTGCGGGAGGGAGAAACATGCCACTCCTCCCGCTTCGCAGCATGTGAATAGGTCGGGAGGCCTTCAGCCTGCCAGACCCGCATCACCTCGGTTCTCGGAGTTCGAAATCCCGCTTGTGGAAAATTAGTTCGAGGTCCTAGCCGTAGACTCCAGGCAAGGTCCCTCCATCCGTAGTCATCACCAGAAGTCCGAGCCACTCCCTGCGAGAACGGTGCCTGGCAACACAGAGGCCAGCAGCACCAACGCAGAACCAACAAAAAAGCAACAGAGACGCCATAGAGCTCGCCGAGCTATAGCCCAAGTCCTGCCCGAACTAAAGGAAGAAGTGAGCTCAGGAGCAGCAAAAGCCACTCCGCTCCTCTCTGTGTCATCTCTCCTGGCTCCCGAACTCCTTGTCGTCCCAATGCCGAAAGATTTCAAGGTACCTTCCCTAGACAAGTACGATGGATCATTCGACCCGAAAGATCATGTAGATGCTTTTCAATCACAAATGCACCTAGCCGGAGCAAGTGAGTCCTGCATGTGCGTAGCTTTCTCTACTACGTTTAAGGGGGTAGCTCGCACATGGTATAGGAACCTCGCGCCCAAGTCAATAAAAAGCTAGGCGTAGTTCATACATATCTTTACTTCGCACTGTCTCCAGTAAGAGATGCCCGAGGACCCAATAAGCCTCCTCGGCATAGTCCAGAGGGAAGGGGAGTCCATCCACAACTACATAAAGAGATTCAATGATGCAAGCCTGCAGATACCTGACCTGGACCCCGCGGTGAGGCT